ACGTTTACAATCATTTTGACATTCGTTATATTAAGGTTATTTTGATTATATCGAGAGATATGGTCAAGAGAAGAGTTAGGAAGAGAGTTGTTCTTCAATCAAGTCGAAAACCAACCTTTAAATACATTTTCGAGTGGTACGGTTTAATTTATTAGACTATTTCAAATGGTTGCTTCCAACTTTTTAAATTCGAACCATTTGTTAACGAAACAACTCTTGGTGAAGTGATTGTTGACAAAATGGATCAATGTTTTATGTTAACGTTTATTTTTACGTTATCAAATTCACAATTTTGATTGGTCGATCAACAATTGCTTGGGTTAAAATTTTGTGTTATCAGAACGGTTTCTCCTGTTATATGTAATAAATGATTGAATCAATTGAATCGTGTATTTTTGTTATTGTGATGCTATGAAACACTCGGCGCAGTGGTATTTTTATTTTTAGACCATCTTGTATAACGTTGTATGGTGATAAATGATTTCATGATTTGAATGTGCTCATCGTCTGTAAACTTGATTGCTTGAAGATGGACAGGGACATCGTAGAAAGTTGAGTTCCGTGCGCTGAAATGGCCTGAGAGGAATTTCTCTACAAAAAAAACGAAAAAAAAATGTGGGGACGGCCGTCCTATTTGTATTTTTTTGAATTGATAAAATAGACTATTATTGTCTTGACCTGAGTGATGTCGTTGTGTGAGTAAAAGACACGAAGCTCGCTGTCACGTTTTCGTTTAAAAACTTGTTCTGATCCACACAAAACAAAAATAATTATTATCACCAATTAAAATACACTCTCCCGAATTTAATCGGTGACAATAGTAATAATAATAATGAAATAATAATGATAATGATAATGATAACGAAATAACAATAAATAAAAAAATAAGGTTTTCACTGATCACCAATAATTTTTCCATAACCATAAATAACGTAATTTATTATTATTTTTATTTTACATAAATACTTGCATCAATTATTGATTTATTTTATGTCAAAATTGTTATTTTGCCATTTATTCTTATTCATTTATTAGTAACTATACTAGTTTCAAAAATAATTTTGAACTTTTAAAGGCAATTATAACATGATGTTGACCCGGGTCAAACCCGACTCGTTTCGGAGCTCTATTCGAATCGAATCGAATCGACTACAGATCAAATCAAATCAAATCAAATCACTCTCAAATTTGATTTGATTTGATTCATTCAGAGCCTTAAGAATATCTTCTCAGAGTCAGACCTCTGTGACAGCAATTCACTACTAGTTCCAAACTTTCCTAAATTCATTTCAGTAGTTATTTTGTTCATTATATGCCATACATTATTGTCTAATTCCCTGTGGATATCAGTTTCTCTTGAAACTACTTGTGCTTCAACAAAAGATGGTCTTGTAAATTCCAAATTATCTTCTATATTAGAGATAAATTCTTCCTTAAATCCACTCCAAAATGAAAACGAGGTTGGTGCTTGTGAATTTGCCCTGTCTGATGATCTATCAGCAGTTTTATAGGTTGAGATAGCCAAAGGTGGAGGAGTATAATTGAAAAATCGAATTAATGAAACTAGAAATTAAATTATCAAGTCAAAAACATCATTAATAACTATCGAATGTTAAACAAGCTAATTAACATATAAAGTAATAAGAATGCTTGCCTCTATCAACTAGAAAATTAAAAGAAATGACAAAGAATTTTGAAGTGAATAACAATCAATAGATGATAGAAAAAAAGGAAATTTAAAAAAGAATTGAAATTTAAATTATTGAAGGAAAGAAAACACAAACTAATCAATGCCATGCAAACAGTATGCTCATATAAATAGATAATAATCTTATGTACATGTTGTGAGATCTTTATCTGATTGTTTTTTTAATTCTATTATTACTTTTTTTAATCTTAAAACTTCATTTTCCAATTTTTCTACTTTTTTCTAAAGATGATTGTAAATAATGTTATGTAAAAAAATTTTTTTTTAAATTCAAACAATAAATAAAATAATAAATACTTTTTCATTATTTTCATTATTTTCTTCATGCGTATTAATAAAGAAAAAATAAATACTTAAACTAGAGTGACGACAAGTGGTAATAACCACCACCATCCTTAAAACACTTGCACATTAAGGGCACCAGTATTATCTTGTCTACTGCTTTTTTTTTGCCGTTGTTGTTTTGGCATGTTTATTAAATAAATAAAAGAAGTACACATTAATTATTTATCCCTATTGGTTATTTTTTGGGGAGGACAGACGCGAATTGATTTTTCTTTTTTTTTGGAAAACAATTTATTTTTTGACAGAGTCCAAGGTGACAAAACGTGGTGTTATTGTTTGGTTTGGTTTGGGTCTCCTAAAGAATACATGTTAATAACTAACCAGAGGTACTTTTTTTTATTTGTATTGATACACTCCCTGGACAAAAGTTTCGGTCACTGCAAAACAATTAATTACGCAAAAACGTACATAATAAAACACAAATAATTTTCATCAAATTGTGACTAAAGTTCCCAAGAATATGTATGCAAAATTTCAAATTTTTGTAATGTTTGTGAAAATAACAGTTAAAAAAACAAAAAGTTCGACCAAAAATCTTTTGAAAAATCGTAGTTTGTCAAAAAAAAACCAGTACTCAGAAACTTACATAATAACCACACCTAAAATCGTGACATACGAAAGATTAGATTCTGAAAAATTACGTCATATGTTTTTTATACAAGTTTTTTTGTGAAAAGATTGTTTTGAAATTTTTGAAATTTTTGATAAAATTAAAAAATGTCAAAGCAAAAATTGTCAAAAATTGGATTGAAACAAAAAAGTTAAAATTTTGAAAAATTGGCCAAGTTAATCTCCTAATTTGAATCCAATAGAGCATCTGTGGAATCAATTAGAAATCCGTATTCGGGAACGTCCAAATAAATTTAAAAATAATGTTGAACTTGAGATCGCTTTACATGAAGAATGGAATCAAATTCCTAGAAATATTTATATTAATTTAATAGAAAGTATGTCGAGAAGAATAGAAGCTGTTATACCCAATAATGGGCGGCCACAAAGTGTTGAATTGCATACAAATAAGTGAAATTTCGGGTGTGGTTATTATGTGCGTTTTTTTTTTTTTTTTTTGAGAAGTGCTATAAATAGTGATGTTAGCCGGCTAAAAACTTGAATAAATTTTTTATCTAATAATTTAGTAGACAGATAACATACTAATACTTTGTATGAATTCATTAAAAATCGAGGTTTTTTATTATTTTGCTAAACGTTGTGCGTGAAATTTAAATTGGCCAATTAGAATTTTGTTTCCAAAAATTTTTAGTATTATAGAAATTCATTTTCACGCTGATGAATATGGTAAAAAATTCTAGCCAGCTAACATTTGATCAAATGAATTATTTATTCTATTCTTACTGAAAAATTCAATTAAAACATAATATTATTATTACTACAAATACCATTGCTATTTAACTTATCATGATCAAATGTTTCATTATTATTAATACTATTATTATCATTACTACTATTATTATCATTGCTGCGATTATTACTACTACTGCTACTAATACAATTATTAATATTGCTACTACCACTACTAATACTATTAATATTACTACTGCTATTTAACCCATTGTTAATATTGTTATGCAATGACCCACCAGACCAAGAATTTGCTTTGCTACGAGTGTTGGAACTAATTAATTGCTTATTTTGTGCATTAGTTTTCTTTTCCTTTTTTGGCGGCATTACGAATGAATGAATATTTTTTATTATTTTTGAGAATGGAATTTGATTGGCACAAGCCGGCTTAGCCGTTTAAAAATTTCTTAGCCGGCTGAGCCGATAAATTTCTTAGCCGGCTAACATCACTAGCTATAAATACTTGCAAATAAAATCAAAATTTTAGAGATCATTTCCAAAAAATTATTTTTGGTCGAACTTTTTATTTTTTTAACTGTTATTCTCCCAAACATTACAAAAATTTGAAATTTGCATACATATTCTCGAGAACTTTAATCACAATTTGATGAAATTTATTTGTGTTTTATTATGTACGTTTTTGCGTAATTAATTGTTTTGTGGTGTGTCCATGGAGTGTATGTATGAGGTGTCTTTTATTTTAGCTTATAAATATTTTAATTAGAATCAAAACGCGGAGCAGCTCATTGCTGGGTAATTACAAGATTTTCATTGATAATATTTTGCTTTGCGTAATCATTAATAATAATACTATTATTAATATATAATTACAAGAAGATGTCAAGGCAGCATTGACTGTTGCAAAAGAAACATTTCAAATATGCAATGTTTGATTATTGGAAATTTACAGATGTTGAAGCACACACGTTACCTTGAACACATTACAGTCATTCTCACATGTTCCTCATGTACATAAGGCTAATCTGGCCTGTTTCGCCTTATGGATATGATTATGCAACCGAATTCCAGGGGGAAGGCGCATGACTCTGAAAGTTTACTGAGACTGCATCGATCGTCAATGACACTTTCACTAATCTTCCCAGACCAGAGAAGGCTGCTGGCACGCTAGCCGAAAATTCGCCTGCAACGATCTCACCTCTAGAATAAGGATAGCTCTGTGACCAAGCTGTCGCAACTCTGCTGATAAATTGTAGTGCCATGTAAATATCCAGATCCATCAAAGCAAAGAGAATCTGTAACTTGTTGCTAAATATGGTGAAAACGTTGGTCGCGCCAAAAACCGAAAAGACCAGGCGCGGCTAGACGCAAAAGGAGACAATCGGCGAGAAAGCTCCACGGAAGTCGCATGACTTGCGAGTTTTGGAAGGAGATCGTGACACGGCAAATGTTAAATCTTTTTTTTGTGTTAATAATGTATAATGCGAGACACCTAGTCCCACTGGCCTTCTCTAACTCCAAAAATGGAAATGTAACACCAAAAAAATAAGCCGTAATTTTGAAGCTAAGACCTTTCTCTACAAAGTTACGATTTCATTTTGTTGATACATATGTAAAATTCGATAAGTCAGTCGTGTGGGGTGAGCTCATATGACTGACATATTGAGTAAACCGAGTTATCGAATTAAATTACTTAAATATTAAGAAAATGGGGTGAAAGTTTTGGCCGACTTATCGAGTAAACCGGCTTATCGAGTTACATATGTACAAGTTACGACCCTTGAATTTTTAATATTATTAGGCATACTTGAAATATCATGTGATAAAAACACACATATTATCTAGTATTTTAAACAATTGGTTGCTACGTCCGATTATTAAAGAATTCCTAATATATCTTCCTTACTTCCATTAAAATACCTTCAATTGAATCTATAGTTATATATGAAAAATGTTACAAGATTGTAAACAATATCTAATATATAAAATTCTTCAAGAACTTTTATAACATAATCTGATATATGATAGTCTACCTATAATAATAATAATAATAAAATTTTTTAGTTAATTTAAAAAATTTATTTTCCATTTAAATAAAATAAATTAAAAAAAAAATAGTACTTGCATCTTTAATTTGAATTAATGAATTATTTTGAATATCATCATAGTCATCTTCTTCTTCTTCCTCATTATCATTTTTACTATCATCCTCATCCTCACTATTAAAGTTTTTGGCCAAAACTATTTTATGAAAAAAAGTAGCTAACTTATTATTATTTTTTAAAGAAATTTGCATTTCGACTATTAATAAAAATAGTTTGGCCTATAAAATTTTTGCCCAATTATTTAGCAATTTCAGCTACTAAAGAGGTAGTTTTGACCTGAAACCTTCTCACTATCATTCTTGCTATCATACTTTTCATTTTTTCTTTAGCAATTGGTAAAAATAATTTTCTAGAATCTTTATATGAATAACAATTTGATTCTGAAATTGCTTTCTGAACGATCTCTGTAATCAGAACTATCGTAAAAATTATTCTCTTCCAACGATATTTTTCTACGACAAAGTTTTAAATAAGGAACACGTCAAATTTTTCTTGTACCACGCTACACTTATATTTTGCATTGATGCCTCAATACCTATAAACATGTAACAACTTATTGTACATTATATCATAATGACAACAAACAAATGGTTGATATGTTTTGTTATTAACGTTAACAATGTTAAATAATTATAAGAAATGTCAGAGGTGAATTCTCTTTTGGAAAATTGCGCACACCTGACTATCATATAATTCGATATGCTAACGTTGGATTATTGGTTGGAAACTTCTAGACACTGAAGTGTATTGCCCTGTGGCTGAATATTTAATTACTGTGATCATTTTCTTATTCCTCACGCACATAAGGCTAATCTGCCAATGGATGATACAACGATGCAATCAAATTTCAGAGAGGGGTTATCAATAATATATGCGGGCGGATTTAAATATTAATATTACGCCAAGCGTTTTACTATAAAACCTATAAAACGTCAATAACTTGTATAGGCTCGATAACCAAACATTTCTATGGTTTTGTTCCGCAAAACTTGAAGAATAAGTTACCAGAATTTTTTTAATTTTGATATTAGTAAAAAACTTTTTATAAGGGTTTAATTAAAGTTATGGATTTTCAAAACTTAGGATTAAGAAAATAAGCTACCATCATTACATTACGTTGTAAAAAAATTTTTAATGGCATGATTGTAATTTCCAATTTCATCAAAAATATTATCATAATGATTCTTCAAAATTCGGGCCAATTATTACAATATAAGCCACTCTCGTGTCCACTTAATAACTTATTAGTATGAAATTTAGTAGATGATGTTGAATTAATTACATGGTGGAAGGGCAACTTTCTTCAGTAGCTCCCGAACCAACAAGGTTTACTGTTCGTATACTTTCAGTTCCTACTTCATCAGCTACTTCTGAACTTCTGAAAGGAACTCATCCGCCTTTTCTTATATCCATGATAAAAAGAGAAACAAATTGACACTTACTTGAACGAGTTTTAAAATTGTATTTATTTTAATTACACACTAATAATAATAGTAATATAGATAATACAATCCCATTGATAAAAATATTGGAATAAAAATGATGAGAATAATGGTCGTTATGATGAAAGTGATATGATATGATGATGTTTAGATTTGGTTAGAGCGCATATATATTGCATAAACTTAACCCAGAGTTTAACTAATATAAGAAATCCAGGATGCGTGCACTAACCGAATTTGGAGAATAATTAATAAATTTATATGTATGACGCAGTCGAATTCATACACTATTGTAATTGTTACAAAATGACGTATTCTTTGAAAGTTGTTGCAACTTTTTTGAAGAAAAGAAACCAAGTTTAGAGGGTTAAAACAGACAGAATACTCGTTACAATAGCTTAAAAGATGTTCAAGTTTTGATGGAGTTCCAATCCTTCTCCAAGGTTAATAGTGATGATATATTAAATTATCTGTACTACATGCAAGTAAATTTTTTTATTTTTATTTGCAATAAGTTGGAAATGTGGTATTTAATATATTGATATATAATAACAATTACGGAAATATATTAATAACATTTTCATGCAATCAATTAGGTCGAAAGACCAATTTAATTAATACATAAAGCAATAAATATAAATAATAATGGACAAAAACATAGAGAATGGAATAATCTATCATTTAGAAAATTCTGAGCAATTTTGGGATAGTTAGTATTTTCTAATTCCATTGATATCTACATTCTTATTACATTCATAATCAATCATCAAAATCTTGTTATAATCAATTACTTAATCTTTGATTTATTGATTTATTGATAATCAATCAATCAATTATTCGTTCATTCATTTTACTTAGAATTAGATGATATTCTTACTCAAGGTGAGCATGAAAGCTTGGCAAAAAGTTCTATTGATGTATATATTAGTTTTATCACCAATTTTCAAGGTAAATTGTTAAGGTTTGTCCTAATATGGCTGAAGAAATCATCTTTATGATGTACCCATGAATTTAAAATCTAACTAATCAATTAATTTAAAAAACCTTGATTATTTTAGACAAATATTTGGAAAGCAAGGTTGATTACATGCGTTGTTATTATAAATTATTAGATTCAACAATGTATCAAATGTTTCCAGAAATAATATTAGAACGATTAATAAACAAATCATTCAAACATGACAATAATTTATCACCATCAAAGGAATTATTTATTTTATTCAACATTTTATTTTTTGCAGGAAAAGAAAATTCTCAAATATTCAAAATGATTAGAAATAAAAGGCCATTTAACTTTATTAATAAATTAAAGAATGTTATTTATTATCAAAAGGGGGAAGGCAAGTTAGGTTGTTATTATTATTATTATTATTATTATCAGATATATGCGAGATGTTTATTTAATCTTATTTATTAATCTTTAGGAAGAAAATTACAACTTATTACAATACAATTGTTCTTTGAGATTTGTTGTGTTCAACCTTTATCACAAACTGAATTGGGTAAAATTTATTATTCTTATTAATATAATCATAATCATTATTATTAATAATATAGTTTAAAATAAAATAATTAATTCTTGAAATGTTTTATCATTTTTTTTTTTTTAAAAATTAAAAAGATATGATCGATGAAGATTTATTAAATCATTTGTTAGATTTAGTGGAAATAACAAGAGATGAAGAAGATGAAACATTTAATTATTCAATTATTCATTTAATTGTAAGTTTCTTAGAACAAAATGATTTATAGCAATTGGTGATATAAAAATATTTATTTATATTTATGTTTATAATATAGTTATCATTCAATGAACAATTTATGTTATTAAACCAAAGCAATTATAATAGTGTTGAGGAGGAAGAATTTTTGAACGTTAATACAGTTGTAACAATTTTGAGCAAAAGAATTGGAACAAGTAATACATTTGGTGAAAATATAATATTTATGTTAAACCGTTCAGGTAATCAATCAATCAATCAATCAATCAATCAATCAATCAATCAATCAATCAATCAATTGACAATTAACAATTTTTATATCATTTTATTTAAAATAAAGTTAAACCACATATTCAGATGCTTATATTGAAATTATTATTTGAGATATTTACAACTCCAGAAACATTTGAATATTTTTACACAAATGATTTGGGAGTATTGATTGATGTGTTTATTAGAGAACTTTACAATTTGCCTGAAGAAAGTGAAGCAGTTAGTAATTATAAATTATATTATTATGTTATTTAACTTTACTATAATTATTTCTAATATTATAATCAATTGCATATTGTTTTAAAATCTTTTAATTTTCCTTGCTCTCCTACTTTCCTCCTCCAAATCTTTCTTTCCTTTTTTCCTCTTATCTTTTCTAATCTCTCTTAAATATAGCTTCGACATTCGTATCTTCGAGTTCTTTATCCACTAATTTCCAATACTCAATTAAATAGATATAAATACAAACAACATAATGTATGTAAGTTATTATTGGACTTGAATGGAACCTTCACAAAACATTTTAAGCCCGTTTCATCCGTAACACAAAGACTAGTTGATAGATGTTTATTTACTGGTTATTTAGAAGGAATTGTTCCAAACATTAATAATAATAATCACGGTAATATCAGTGTTATTAGCAGGAACAGTAGCAACAGTAGTAACAATAGTAGTAGCATTAGCATTAGTAGTAATGATATTAATAATTATTGTTATCAAAATCCTGGCGAAGAAAATTAAATGTGTTAACTCCAAATGCTATAATCACGGAAATGGATAAATCTGAATCAAAAACTTTTATTGAATAATTGGAAATAATAATAATAAATTTTATTTTTAAATAGCTTTTAGCAATAATTTTTAACTATGTTCGTAAGTAAATTTTATTTATAACATTCCTTATTCTCTGATATAAATAATCTATAATTTTTATTTCTTAGAAAAATTGATATTATTTACATAATATTGCAATGTTATTATTATCAACATTTATTAATCTCATACCTTCTTCATAATACCCATATAATAATAATACATGTATATGTTAAAAATCCATATCCACCATTCCAACACCACCTTGTGAGGACGGTACAGATTGTTGTTCTCTTTGTGGTTTTGATGGTTTAGGTACTGGTGTCGCAACATGTTCTTCTTTTTGTTTGCTTTCTAATGGAATTGCTAAAGCTCTGGCACGACCCAAATCTTCCTATTATTATTCATTATCATTATTACTATTGTAAGAAAATTATTATTAAAAGACATATTGACAAAACACCAATTATATATATCTATACCATAAATTTTGTTTTTAAAGATCCAATCTCAGTAATAATATCATTCAATGCTTTGGCAAGCATCATTTCAGGTTTTGTTTCACTAGTTGTTTGAACTCTCAGAAAAATATTATTTTCCAATGGATGGGGAACTTTATATCCTGCAAATATTACATGTGGTTCTTGTAAAAGTTTACTTTTTTTTTTATCATATATTATTAGATTAGACAAGATTAAAAATTTTTAAAATTTTCATTTAAAAAAAATCAAATCATACTGTCTTATTAAATTCCCCATTGTGTGATCTTCTTTTTGTATATCAAAGGTTGCTGCATTCTCAACTCTATTATCTTGATGAATAAACATCCTGTTATCATTCACACGTATACACGTTAATCATCAGTTACGAAAACATAAAAATAACACTTTTAAACAAATCTTTTAACTTAACTTTTTCTCATGCGGAGCAAGATATAATAAATCAAATTTGTGTGGTGCATTCATCTTGACTTTAGATTTATTTTTTGATTGTTATTATTATTAGTAAAGAAATAAAAATTTAGTGTTCCATTTCAGGGGGGTGGAAAGTTTAAAATAACTAGTACTAGGTACCTCGGTTACACAAAAATAGCTTGAAATTCAAATATACACCGTATGAAATGATTTGTCTGGCTTCGAAATATTTGCTTAGTGCAATAATTGCATTTGAATTCTCCATCTACAACCACAAAATGGCTCTACACTCCTTGTTCTTCTTTGAACACATTAATTGTTTGATTGGAAAAGTTTGAATTGTACACGAATTTTCTTTTAGTAAAATGGTGGTGGAATCTACAAATTGCTTAGTATTGGCGAATTACTGCACCTACAATAAAAAATTCCTGTATACTTGCCAATGAAAACAAAACCCAAAAGGAAAACGATCCAGCAATACTGATATTAGTGATATTATAAACAAAAAAAATAGTAATAGTGAAGGTTGGATTTTTGTCAGAGTGCCCAAAAATAGGCTTGGATATTTTCCTTCCATGTAGGCGCTTTGACAATTGTTTATCTTTACACTTTTAGAATTTTTTGTTTTTTTCTCCGCAATAAATTTCACGTCATGCACCAGGAGTAGTAGCTCGTCAACATTATGCAATTAATAACAATATTAAAACAAATGAGTCTACCCCCGAAGGGAAAGCATCAGGTTTGACATACATAAATAAAATTCCATTATATTCACCCGAAAGTAAAGATCAAGTTATAATCACTTCTCAAATCAAACGAGATCCCTTATTAACCAGGTAAACTGGGTGGGCGAATAAAACAAAGCTTTTTGAATTGAAGTAAACACTTGAAGAAGCAAAGTGAACCCCACATTGGTAATTTTATGGTCATATTCCATTTTCCCACAATGTAATTAGCATCGTCTGGAGTTTTCTGATCCTGCACGCAGATCTAGACTTTTCTGATGCAAGCAACGTTCCCACAATGCACACTGCATTTCATGTTGTTTTTCTTCCCTGATGCTCCATTATAATATAGTAAGCTGATATTCACTACATGCATGCATCATATTATTGGACAATTTTGTAATTAAAAAATTAAAATGAATGAAAAAGCACAGTTAGTATTAGTCAATTAACAAATAATACACCATAAATAAATGAAATGAGATGATTTTTTCGTATATTTATTTTGCTGCTCTGTGTCCCACCTATACTCATCTTTGCGAGATATTACCTAATACTAATGAAATTGTACTCTGTCAAAAAAATCAGTCGATATGGTTACACGAGGATATACCAAAAAAAAATTTTCATCATGAATATTGGTGATAATTTATCAAAGACGTTTTCTTTTAAACGTAAAAGAAAATTGGATTCCAATTCTACTTCAACAACTGCTGATTTTACAAACGATGAAACACCCTCTAGAAAAAAAAGAAGCAACAACACAATACTTTCAAAAAAACACCCGCTTGGTATAATACCATGGGGTAATTATTATTATTTATCAACGCAAAAAGACTTTAAAGGAGATTGTCGAGCATCTAGTCTTGGTGATCTTGCTTACTTGATTGATGAGTTGATTTTAGAAATAATTGAATACCTTGATCCAAAAGATTTACTAAACCTTTCCTCTACTAGCAAGGTTTTATATTGTTTTGCGACTTTTGATGAGCTATGGAAACAATTCACTATAGAAAGATTTGGCGGTGATTGGATTTGGGAAGGGACATGGAAACACACATTTTTGAAAACATCATCATTATTTAAAGAAAATATTGGTAAAAACAAAATTACTTCCAAGCCAACAACAACAACTGTTCACCTAAATAATTTCTTTAGTGATGTGTTATTTCAACCGTTTCTTTGCAGTTCAATTGAACTGGATCAACAATACCTTGGAAATGAAACCATAGATCGTAGATCAAATCTTACTATGGATGAATTTATTAACGAGTATGCCATTCCAAACAAGCCAGTAATTATCACAGACATAGTTACTAATTGGCCAGCTTTTAAAAAATGGTCATTGGAATATTTGGTTGAAAATTTTGGTGATGTTAAGTTTCGTGCAGAAGCAATTGATATTAAATTAAAGAATTATATTCAGTATGCAAAAAATACTATGGATGAGAGCCCACTGTATTTGTTTGATAAGAATTTTGGTGATACTTGTAATGGATTGTTGCAAGACTTTTCTGTCCCAAAATATTTTAATGAAGATTTCTTCAATTTATTTGGCGAACAAAGACCTGATTATAGGTATTTATAAAAAAAAAGATTATCTTATTTTTATATTAATACATACACACACACATATATCTCACTTATTATTTATTATTATTAAGATGGTTAATTATTGGACCAGCACGTTCAGGATCAACTTTTCATAAAGATCCTAATTCCACATCTGCATGGAATGCAGTTATAAAAGGTTCTAAAAAATGGATAATGTATCCTCCAGATTCTTTACCACCAGGCGTTTTCACCAGTGCAGGTATGAAAATTATAACATTTGTTGTCATAATAATACTGATAGTGATAATAATGATATTATAATAATGATAATAATAATAAGATGAAGCTGAAGTAACATCACCAATATCATTGATGGAATGGTATTTAAATTTCTATAAAATGGCATTGAAATCAAAACCTCGCCCACTAGAGGGAATTTGTAAAGCTGGTGAAATTATTTTTGTGCCAAATGGTTGGTGGCATTCTGTTCTGAATTTGGATGATTCTATTGCAATTGTAAGAGTTTATCTATTTGTTTTGGTGACTTTTATTATATTTATAAATCTTAAAAAAATTTTTTTTCAAAAAAATTAAATAGACACAAAATTTTGTTGGAACCTATAATTTAAAAAATGTTTTAAAATTTTTACATGACAAACCTGATCAAGTATCAGGATTTTCTAAATCAATTTGGTCATCATCACTTGAACAGGTTTATGATATTTTTTATGAAAAATTAAAAAAATATTATCCTAATCAATTATCATTATCATCAATAATAACAAACAATGGTAAAAGGATAAAGGATGATGATGATGATAAAGAAAAAACTTTAAATTCAAATTCATCTTTATGGTCACAATTAACTAAAAACAATCAAAAGTCTTTTAATTTTAAGTTTTAAGAAATTTTTTGTAAATAAAATAGATAGGGAACATCATCTCTAAAATGTGAGCTTATAATAAATTTTTTTTGGACAAATAATAGTATATGAAGCACATATTTAGTTGGGGTAAATAAATATAATCACAGAGCCAATCTTTCAATTTTAGAGTTACCCATTCAATACCCAGAGTTAATGTTAATAAGGAGAAGCATTCCTAACATATCTCCGAAAGGTGAGGCTTTATCAAAGAGGTAAACATTTGTTTCCAAATAAGGAAGGTTATTACAGAATAACCTATGACTTATGACCTGTCATAGACCTACCTTGTCATATGTCAATACTGGTAATCATCAACATTGAATATATCAGGCTATCTTATATTAATCTCCTAGGTGCATTGGAGGATAATAAACATGTGAGTGAGGACTCATGACCAATAATATTGCTCCAAGCCAACCATTTGCTTCTAACCATTTTTATTGTAATTAAATAAAATCCTGAGTTTCTAAGTACATCTAAATATTATTGGCTAAAATCATGCAGATCTTTCATTGAAAAAATGATTTTTTATTTTTTTTATAAGAAAAACTTGACACAAGAGCTTTATTAAATGTGTATTTTTAACTATTTTACAAGCCTACAAAAAAAAGTCTGCATTTCTTGTTAGTTCCTTCCTAAGAGGAGCATAAGAAACTTTTAGAATTCCAATCTCATAAGAATCATGATTATTTGTATATACTGCACCATCTGCTTTATGAACAGTCTTCTTCAGTGTTGAAAATTCAGTTAAGCATACTGCAAGCATGTAATTTTAAATACAGCTTGAGAGGTGTCCTATAAAATATATAGTAAAATAATATATAAAACATCCAATATTTATAACCAAGCTAGTTCCTCTATCTTATTCCCTAGTTCTTTAAAAACCTTTTCCTATAAAGAAACTTTTATTAAAAGAATTGTAATAAACAGAAATCTCCAAATTTTAATATCAAATAAAGAAATATTTAGAATTGACAAATTTTAAATAATTTTATTTATATAGTTTTATTTATTAATAAAAATTTACAATAACCAATATATAGATTTTTTGATGTAACATAGTAATTTGTTATGATGATGTTTGTGATCTGCAAGATTGGAACACCCCAATCAATGTCCAAAATATATTGCCATAATTGAATAAAATTCATTTTTCTATTATTTTCATATATCTGAAGATCGTGCATATGAAAATTTGTGTATAGTGATACACCTAACTGAATTTTCAACATTGGTCTCCTTAACTGTTATCAATTGATCCTTTCCCTCATTTTTTTCATTCAGATGAACTTTGAATTTCTATTTCATCCCCATTTTAGTATATCAGTTTATTGTTAATAATAATTACAAAAAAAGGACATGAAGATAGATAGAACATGTAAACATACCATTTGTAATTTAAGAGATGGTTTCTTTGAATTACATCTCCAATTACTGGATCAATAACTGTACCATTATACATAGACTCTGGTAACCCATGGTCTTGCATATGTTAGCATCCTGATTATATGTGCAGCCCAAAGTATTTTGACACTGTCATTAAAGGGGGCTTACATGTGTGGTAAAGGGATGTTACAATTATGTTTTTAATAGTGAGTGCCATAATTAATTTCTACTTTCTACCATCAAAATTGGAATAATTTTGACCATTGAAATCACCAAACCAATTTGTGTTGCATGTATAATCCTGATTCAAACTCTGTTAAGCTATATATAGAGCAAAAAATATATAAAAATCAGTAAATTATGTTAGAAAAGATTAAAAAAAACTGTTCATACCAAATATTAATAAAATTTGCAGTGTATATCCAACATTGGTAATCATTATCATCAGGAGACATCAAAACCACTTTGTGAATTAGAGAATATCATGGAACAATTCACAATGGCTCTTTCTATTTAACTATGCAAGAATTCATAGTAAGGTAAAATGTGTTTATTTAATTATTAATTTCAGGGTGGGGATTATTCAATTATTATATATTATTATGAATGTTATTATCAATATTCCTCTTCTACTTGGTCTAAAACCAAGTGTATTGATATCTCTTAGGATATTACAAATAACATGACTTTTACGATATTTGGTCCAGTAAAATATGTTTATTAATTAATTATTGTTGTATTACTGGCTTAATAATTAATACTAAGTATTTTAAATGGAAATAATAATAAGCTTGATTACTAATACATAGAGAACTACAACATTATTATCTTCTTTCCATACACCTTGCTACAGCTGCTTTGTAACATGGCGCATTATCTTCTTAATTCACTATCATAAGCTTATGAAGAGGAGGAGGAAGATATACCAATAGAAGATGAAACTCATTCCTTAGTAGATGAAGTGCCACTCCTGAACAAAAAAAATCTCCAGAGGAAGAAAATGAAGATAAAAGAGATGAGATTGTTCTTTCTTTACAAGAACAAATAGTTCAATTACAAAAAGAACTAATTGAACCAAAAGCAAACAAAGAAAATCTCTCTAAATTGGAATATAATAACAAAATTCTTCTTTAAAAAGTAAATTAGAACAGTTAATAGAGCAAGAAAATCAAATCAATAATGATAATAACCAATCAACCAATTACTTGCCTTATATTTTGTAGGAGGAATAATAAATAGTGTCAATGGTAGGAGATTTTGGTTATCTGTCAGAAAGAAGGAAAAAAGAAAAAATCAAGGAATGAATTAATAATATTAACAGTTGCCATGTGGCAACTGTTCTTTCTGATGTAGTGCTAATATACACATATTCACCTATACTAATACTGATAATCAACCTGAGATAGGTAATAAATTATTTTTCTTTGAATTTTTAGGTTCTTTGTAGCATTGTTTTAATGTCCTTTTATTAGTTATGATTCTTGATAAATTTCCTAGGTCATCCTTTCTTTCCTTAGATATCATTTATTTTGAAAACATAAGGATAATTTTTTTGCCTTGTCCTTTCTTCAAAATACTCCTAATGGTACTCTAATTCTTGGGTTCCATGGTGGATCTGTTATAGATTAATTTCATGTATAAAAAGCAAAAAACAAATATCATGACTGATCACATTACATTGACAGTACAATTGTGATGTTAAACAATTTTGATACCTGAAATTTTTTATAGTACAAATATTTGCTTTGTCTGGTTTTGTTGCAGCTGACACTTGACCCCTGTAAATCTGCAATGTCCTACAACTGATATCTAAATGAATTGTTATAACATTCTTGATTATTTAAAGGAAGGCCTTGTGCCATAAAATGATTGATATATGAAATAAAATCTGATGGGTATATCACATGATATTTGATTTTTTCATGAATATAATGATATCTGCACTGTGTATTTATATAAAAAAGAAAATCCATCTTTTGAGATTTAATCAATTAAACAAAATTATTATGCCGGAGATGGGGTTCGAACCCACGCATGCTTCCGCATACTAGAACTTAAGTCTAGCCCCTTGGACCACTCGGGCACTCCGGCAACTTTATTCGTTGCTTTTGTAAATTTAATTATTTATCAATAAATTTAAGGGTAATCACGTGATTTAATATAATAATTAAAAACAATAAAGGCCATTAAACAACAAATATTATATATTGTCTTACTTCCACTAGCAAAAAAAAAAAAGACAAATGCCATTTCAAGAATATGTAAACAGAATATTATAACAAAAATATTTTCTATGTTACCTTATTTAAAGATAAATATGGTGTTAATATGCTTAATGAATGAATTTAAAAATAAAAAAACTCTCTGATTTTTGTTTTTAAGGTAGAAAGAAATTTGATATAATTTCCATGAAGAATCTATAGAATATGTAGTATACAGGTCACTCCCGTTATAAGAACAGCCCGTTATAGTGACAGTGACATTTTTTCAAAAACAAATTTTATAAATATAAATTTACTCCCGTTATAATGACATTCATTATATATCCCATTATACGAGTATAGAGTATAGAACATAATTTTACAAAAAATAATTTTATATCCCGCTATAGTGACATCCGTTATAAGGATATGTCGGTATAACAAGAGAACCAATCAAATCACTCCGATCTCCATGACAAATTAATTACGTTCTTAAAATATTAATTAATTTATAAATTGTTTTGATGATGACAAAGTATCTATTATTTTCAAAATTGCTTTGCAGATTGTTTTTTCAGTGATGAAGTATCCTTACGTTTTTGATTGTTTTATAATTAACAATGTCAAAAAAAAGACTATTTTATTATTATAAATTAATTAATGTATATAGTGATTTTGTTTTTAAAATAAAAAAGGTTTTTACTTTCTCACCATTCAATTCTCTAAAGGCAATAAAAAGACTATTGCTATTATCATATTCTATTTTATATAGCCTTTTTTATGAATCGCGTGATTTTATTATATGAACCCCGTTATTATTATAAGAACATTACGTTATACGGACATTTTTTGCTTGTCCAGGAGCATTCTTATAACAGGAGTGACCTGTATATATTGTCTTGTTATTGATTCCTGCTATCACCTCTCAACTCATCTGGTCAATAGTAACACTCTATATTTTAAATTATATTTTTATAGTTTAATAATTTATAAATACAATTTATTTTAAAAAATTTCAATATTATAAATGTCATTTGTATTTAATTTAAACTGGTTTTTAGTGTAGCGAGTGTCTTAAAAAGATCCGGGAACTATTATTCCTTGTTGATCATTAAATAATTCAAATGACTGGTGAGTCGCTGAACTTTAATTTCTCCAAAATGGAGGAATTAAGCCCCAAGTTTAAATAAAACACCTCTCTCTGCATATATACAGGAGTCACGGGGTCGTGCAAATTTTATTGTGGCGTACATACATTATTTACACATGTCATAATTCAATGGTATATGTTTTTTGACTTTTTGACTTTTTTGACATCAACAAAACAAAATTTGGGCTGCATGTATAATACACCTATCCCCCAACTTGTTTTCATTTTAGTATATTAATATAGTCTTTGCCATTTAAACTTGTTAATTTAATAATTGTGCTACAAAAATCTTGTGTCATTTTACGGAATTGGAAACTAAACAAAGCCATTTGTGGTGATAATAAATTTCGTATAATCATTCTTTCAAAAATTACTAATATATATATATATATATATACCCACACATTTTCATTTTTTATTTTAACTAAAAAATAAATAAAAATGACTTCAACTGCAACTTTAGTCAATTTACACTGCAACAAAAACGGTACACCTGATCTTAGTTTGAAACTTACAGCAACTGGGTTTGACTCTTCTCAATCTGTTACTAAAAAAAACTTGGAACCAATCAAATCCATTCGTGAACAGGTATCAAATTTACTTGACAAAGTCAAATCGATTGATCATAAGCTTGAGGATGTATCTAATGAAGTAGTTGACTACATTAACAATAAATCGTTGAAAGAAAAGGGCAATATTTGTGTTATAGAAGAAATAGTTCAACAATTGATTGATAGAGTGGATGAAGATTATTTCGATTTTTATGGCAAACTGATCAAACATGTCGTTTTAAATATTGATCCAAAAATAAGTTATAATGTGAGCAGATCGCCATCATGCAAAGAAGGAGGCAAAGGAATGGTGGGAGAAGAAGAATATTATAAAGGTGATAGACTATTCAAGAAAATACTATTTGAGAGGTTGGAAAAAGAACTTGAAGATGGTATGAATCTAGATTCAATCTTATTATCAAACGAATTTTGTAACAATGAAGGTGGGGATGATGAATGTAATCAAGAGGAATTGATGAAAAATAAAAAGTTCCTATATTTGTTGAGCAAGGAAAAAAATCGTTATATTGGACTCATTTATATGATGTGTGAATCTTTGAAATTAAATATTAATGGCGGGGTACTTGTCTGTTCAACTGTCTTGAGATTATTCAATACTATCAAAAATAAACTTAATCATGATGTTGATGTTGATGTTGAATATTTGGAAACTTGGAAACAAGAATTCAAAAGAAAAGTATTCATTGACATTTACTTAGAGTGCATTTGTGTAATCATGTATAATGTTGGAAAATTGTTATGTTCTGATGAATTATATAATCCTATTATGGAGCATTTCTTTTTAGAATTGTATTTTTTGAATAAATGGAATAAATTGAATACTGAAATCAAAGAGATTATAGATGTAAGTGGCATTTAAATGCTTTTTGTACTAATACAAATATAAATATTTGTACTAATAATTTATTTATATTTACACATTTATGCTATATATATTTATAATAATTAATTAATTGCAAGGATTCAAATAATTAATTATGCATTTTAACATTCTAAAAAAAATTAGGAAATGATTGAGTATAATTGGTCAAGAGACTCCAAAATTAAAGCTAAATTATCGTTAGTAGAAATCCTTAATAATAATAAATGATTATTTAATCAATTGATGTAAATTAATGATGTGCTTTATTTTTGTTATTAGGAAATCTAAACGTGCTAGAATAATCAATTTCAGGTATGACTAAATAAAAAATCTTTAATTCTTGAAATTAATATTCAAAATATTTGATCTTTCTTTGTAGGGAATTCAGAAATATTAAAAAAGTTGGTAAAGGCTAGAAATCTTTTGGTTATTACATTATCATATATTGGGAGGGGATGCTTGCTGGATGTTGGTGAAATCAGATGGCAGTTTGTGTCAAGTTTGTTGGTAATTAGTTAATGCTTTACAATTTTTAAGATTAATTACTTTGTGAAAATTGTTTCATCCCTTTCCATTTTTTTATTTTATTAATTACTATTTTGTAAGTTGTATATATATATATATATATATCCAATTGTCGATATTATAATAAGTAATGTGATATAGTTTTTATATCTCTATTTAGATTTTAGAATTATATTTTAATAAATGATAATATATTTACATAATCGACAATTTCTTATACAATTGATTAATCTTTACATGCTTATGCTTCTTCACTTTATAAATCATCCTGTCAATTATCTTATTAAGGCACCAAACAAATCGAATCAAGTTGAATATTAAAGTAATTCCAATTCAAAAAACTGGGTTCAATTTGTTCCATGACTTGATTTGATTCAAATCGAATTAAACCAGATTTTTAAAAATCAAATGTGTTTATAATTATATAGAATAAGGCAAATTCGGTCAAACCTAATTTCAACAACCCTATAAAAAATTATATAAGAATATGTACTAGTGTTGAGTGATGCAGAATAAATACACACGGAAAAACATATTTTTGATACTGAATGCATTAGAAAGATGCATTTTGATATTTACATACTAGTACGGGGGATTCGTCCCGAGTCTTACAGTTTACTCCTCTACAATGGATCATTTGTACTATATAGAAAAAATATCTGTTATTAATAATTTATTTTTCCGCAAAAATCATAGGAAAGAAATCCATTTAAAAATTCTTTGATAAATCTAATACAAATAAACAGCAGATTTGATTATTTTCGACATTTTGAAGAATTTTTATCTCTATAAACCAACAAATCAGCATTTTTTATTGTCAAAAGAAATTGATTTTTATTTCTACGAACCAACAAATCCTAAATTCTTTGTTAAAAGAGATCTATTTAAAGTCAAATTCTGAATGAATCAATAAATTCAAATCGAATACAATCGTATTTTGATTCGATTTCAACTTGGTTCGGATCTAATTCAAATATATAAACTACTTCTTCAACAGGCATGATACAATATCTTTAAAGAAAAACAAGAAGTGAAGTTCACAGTTGTAGATTGAAAAGTCAAATGCAATTATTGTACCAGGTAGGTATTTGTTTTGGCTTTCGAAACAAAAGGCAACTTTTTTAGAATTCATATGGTGTATATAAAAGAGAAAATTTTACTTTATCAAGAATTTCTTTAAATAATAACAGGTAATTTCATTTCAATCCAACATGACAATTTTAGTTTAAATTTCCATTTGTAATGTGCAAATGAAGTCCTAAGTTAGTTTTTGTTTGAAATTAATTTTCCTGGATTATTATTATGGTTTCCATTCTTTGGAAGATACAACGATCAATCCTAATCAAATAAGAACATTATTATCTTATCATTTTGCCAATCAATTAATCCATTAAAGCAAAGAATAACTTTGGAGAAAAATAATAGATAGAATCATTATTTTTATCAAATAAAATTAGTCCTTCATAAACTTTTATAAAAATAAAACCATTGTCTTGATTTTCTTTATTTAAAATGCTTTGATAAAAGCAACTATTGGTAAAAAGGCATGTTTTATTCACCTTAGTGAGTAAGCAAAGGTTAGAAACCAACATTAGTTGACTACTGTAAAATAGTAAATTATAGATCACGGGAAAACGAACATATAAATCGGAAATGATTTAAACATGTATCACGAAGTGAAAATTTTAAGGCGCACCAATCAAATAAATAGCTCTCGGAAAATAACCCAAATATTGGAGATATAAATATTCCAACATTCTAAA